ATGGGTTGATCCATCAAACCGATAAAACCCACCCAACCCAACCGCCTACTTAAAAGTGAAAAAAATTTAAGCAAATGCAAAAATTAAAAAATTGAAACCTCAAGGCCCTAGTTTACAATGTTTTATCATTTCTCTCATACTTTCTCTTTTTCTCTAGCCATAAAACTAAATGATGCACTCTCTCATTTTCTCTCGTTCAAGCCTGTCGATCGTCGCCAACTTTGTTTGGCTTGACACTAATCATCGTGCTTTATTCATATTGGTACTCTTAACTTTAAATTTTAAGTTGACCATTCATTTATGTTTTGCGAATGTGATAATTTGGGGCTTAGTTTCAGGCTTATTTTTTCTCTAAGCAAGATGATTATTTGTATAATATATGCATTTTCCTTCATGCCTAATTACAAGTTTTTGTTCATGGTGAAGCATTGTGGTTGATAGGTTTTTATTGCCGAGCATATTTTTATGATTTTTAATGTCTAAACCAACCAACCTAACCCGACCCGATCGAAATTGGATTGAAATACATAATTGAGTTGTGATGATTTGATTTTAGATCAAACTGATCATGTTGAGTTGGATTTGGATTGCATAATAAATCGACCCAACCCAACCACGCCTACCCTTACATCTAACCATAACACAAATACAGCATAAATTATTCAAAACGTTTAAAAGTTAAAGAAAATGAAAAAGATATTTACCTCTTTCGATTAATCCTATGGAAGGGAAAATTGAACATTGGAGAAAGATGTAGATATGAGTTCAATGGTTGTAAGTTATCGATCGTTGAAATGAGGAGCGATTATTTTGGGGAAGGCTGCTTACCGATCAAAGAGGAATGGCGTGGTTTTGGATTCACTTTTAAGAAATGGAGGAGTTAGAGTAGAACAAGAAGAGATAATGGAGTTGGATTATGGGTTTAGAAAGTAGGCTAGGTTTTGGTTTAGAAAGTGGGGGAGTGGGGTGTGGTTGCATAGGTTTGGTGTGATGTTTATATACTATTTAGTAGAATCAACATTAATTAAAGACATACATGAGATTTAAGCCATGATTTGGTCCCATTATTTCAATTTATAATTTTTAGAATAGTATTTTTTTTAAATATGTGGTGAAAAAGAAGGAAAAAATTTCGATTTACGTGTAATATTATTTTATGAAAAATTATTTGATTGAAAATAAGATATAGAAAAATTATAATTTGAAATAATGAAGGCCTTTACACAATTTAAAATGAATGGGTAAAGGCATGTTTGGCTTGCACACATGGCGTCGACGTGGTGTCTCACTGCCAATTTAACGTGCCAGCTCATAAAATCGTCAGCAACATGGCAAATGTTATTAACAGTTTTGGTCCAGTGGCCAATGGGATAGGACAATTTAAAGTAGAATGGCCAGTAAGATAAGTTTAAAAGTGAGTGGGTAGTCCGTGACATGCATCAAAGTTCAATGGCTAATGAAACAATTAACTCCATTTTTTGCCAATGTCAATGAAAAAAAGTAATAAGGGGAGCAATTTCCTCTTCAAAAATTTATATTTAATTTTTTATTTTCTAAAATGTTTATCCAGTTGAAATTTTGTAGAAAGTTTAGTGAAAGCAATTGAAATTTGTGAGGAAACAGTTTACAAACCAGGCTTTGTCTTGCCATTCTCGGACAACCTGACGTATACCTGTTTCTTTGCATTTTAAGTCTCTATTTGTAATATTTTATTTATTTGCGAGCAGAGGCTAGAGGGAAAAACAATGAGGAAATTATAGGAAATGACTGGATAACCCGATGCTATTTCCAAAGTAACCTTTGACCCCTTTTTTTAATTTAAAAAAAAAATCGAATTTAAAGCTTAAAATTCCAAAATACCCCTCACAAAATCGACTCTCACAAAACTGAAAATCACAAAACCGACTCTTACAAAACTGGTCGGAGCAAGGTTGATCTATCGCCGGCGATGTCTTTTTAAGGAAAGTTACCATTGGTTGGTTTAATTTTTAGAATTTGGAGATTTTTTCAATATTTTTTTGTTTATATTAGTAAAATAGGGTTTACATAGTGTAAAAAAATATTGGTTGTTGGAATTTGGAAGCTTTCCTCACCAAAAATGGTGATTTTTCGACGAGAAAGCGTGAAGAAAGTTGGCTGCTGGTACAGCTGGCCATTTTGGCTAAAACCCGACTGTTAACAGTTGGGTTAACAGTCGGCTCCCGACTGACCCTACTGTTAACAGTCAGGTAGCAATGGTATTGGACCGACTTAACCTACCGCAGTCGGTGTGGGCCAACTGTTAAAACAAAGTCGGTTTGGTCGACTGTTAAACAGTTGGCCCACTAACAGTAGGCCCATTTTTTTTGCCCAATTTTTTTCACAAATAATTTAATAATTTAATTTTAAATTTTTTTATTATTTGGTTTAATAAATAATAAATTATTTAGTTTGTCGAATTTAAATAAAATTGTTACGACTAAATTTAAATAAAATTTTTACATTTAATTTTTGTTTTAATATTTATTTTTATTTTTATCTTTTCATTTTTCGTAAATAATAATTAGAAATAATGGTTGGGAAATTTTTAATTGTAATTTGAAATAATTGTTGAAAATTTAATTTGAAATTTAATATTTATTTTTATTTTGTGATAATTGGGAAAATTTGACATTATTGATAATAGGATAAAAAAATTCATATTATTGATGATTTTAATTATTATGAATTTGCGTTTTGCGTATTGTAATTACAATTTCGTTCGCTAAATTTTCTGTTATTACTATTATGACTTGTACAATGTTCTAATATTTTGAATTTGTACAGAATGGATTATCATCTTGACGCAGAGTTGAGACAAATGCTAGGCAAAACTACGTGGAATAGTAGCTTTGATAGTTTCACAGCTGTGTTAGAGCTGCTTGATGATCAGCATGCTGATATGCTGCGCCAATCCTTCCTGTGGCCCTTATACCCGTTGAGAGATCTGCTGTACTCGGGTCAGATTATTGATGCACTTCTATATCGATTGCTGAGTCCAGTCGACAGCGATGCCCTCCACTTTGCAGTCGGGGGTAAAATCGCTAGTTTTTCGATGTTCGAGTTTGCTCTGATCACGGGATTAAAGATTACGGGCGATGAAGCAGCTGGTGATGGGACTCAGAGACCTCTCATGTGGATCTCCCGCACATAGTCAGGGGCACTATTTTGATGATCTGTACGCTCGTTTGAGCAGATTTATAGAGGGGCAGGTTGACGGGCTGCGTTGAAAGATGATAGAGAGGGTTGATGATCTGGGACGATAGTTGGTAGGAAGGGTCAAAGGTTTGTCAAATGAGATGCAGTACTTCGGGGTGATATAGCCGGTAGGTGATGGGTTGACGGAGACGGTGATCGAGGGGGTGATAGAGATGGGGGTCTCTGGCAGTAATACATACATGATGATGATGCATGTGAATCGTTTATTTTATCCGTGGAGCGCTATGGTACGGGAGTAATGACAGAGGAGGGGGCCCATCGGGGAGGGAGGCGGAGGCAAATGAGGGAGTGGCCCCGTCAGGGACGGAGACGGTGGCAGATGTGGGAGTGGCTCCATCGGGGACGAAGACGGAGGCAGATGTTAGAGTGGCAGATGAGGGAGTGGCCCCGTCGGAGACCATGGCAGATAAGGGGTTGGAGGAGGTGGAGAGCCCTGGGGTGGAGGAGGTGGCAGTGTATAAGACAAAAAAAGCGTGCTGTTGACATGCCGGAGACGGTGGTCTGCAAGAGGGCCGAGAGTACCGTCACAGTACGTCGTCTCTCTCTTCATGCTGAGGCGAAGAGGAGGAGGTTAGTCAATGGGACGTACCTCAATATGTTCCGGGAGGTCGACCATGTGAAGTGGACAGCATTCGAGGCTGAGTGGCTAAGAATGTTGCCCGAGTAAGTATTGTATAATTTAGTAGACTAGAATTACTCGTATATGCTTTGTTTAACTTTTTTTCTATTTTATTTCTAGAGCCACGCACATGATAGCCGGAAGGACGATATTAGACGCATACAAGTGGTTCCATGATATCACGACTCAGGGGGCTTGGCTCGCCGACGATGTAAGTGAAGTGTTATTGTTACTTTTTGTATACGTTATGTTTAATTTGGTAAATGAAATAAGTGTTTATGTCTTTGTTTTCCTTGATGTAGCATATCGACATGGTCATGGACTTGTTGCGCAATCGAGTTGAGAGATATCCACAATCATTCCACAAGCCTGGCCGCATTATACTGAACACCGAGTTCTTCCGTGCCGTTACCATTGAGTATCAGTCCCTCCAGCTTCTAGGTAACGAGTACGTGCTTCATGCGTATATGTTCGAGTGGGTCATTAGGCTGTCACTGAGTGTTGGGGGAAAGCCATGGGAGGGTTGTACGCATTTGTACATTCCAATTATCGCAAATCAGCACTGTATTGCACTGGAGATCGTGTTCCCTGATTCGACCATATATGTGTACGACCCAGATCATTCATGTGTGACACAGGGACAGCTCGAGCAAATCTTAGAGCCGATGACTGTGATCGTTCCTATGATGGCTAGACATGCGGGCTTGACTGTGGATGAAAAACTAGCCATCGTGTAGGACACGACGACGACGAGACAATCTATATCGTAAGTCTTTGTAATCTTTTTTTTTTTTAATTTAGTAATCAATTCGTACGTAATTAGAACCGAACTAACACATAATTGTTCATTTGTAGGGCGATTGTGGGATTTTCGCAATCAAATACAAAGAATTTTTGAGTATAGCACATAAGGTTGATGGAATCAACCAGTTATGGATACAGAATTGACGAAATAAATTAGCGTGTGATTTATACGAATTTAATTGTGGTCCATAAATTATTTGTAAATATTTTTTGTACTTAATATTTGTAATTATTTTTTGTGATTATTCATGTAAATACTGTTTATTTCAATATAAATACTATTCAATTCAATGTAAATACTATTCATTTCAATGGAAATACATAATGCTCTAACTGTCATTTAGGAAAATCGACTTGTACAAAATTGGCGAGTATGTCCTACTGATTTACACCTGCTACACCTATGCGGTCGGGAAAACTCTCCAGTAGATGGTATTATAGAAGTACTTGGACGTCCAGGACCACGTGGTTCAATGAGATGTGGCGACAATGTATTGAACGGGCGAATATGATCGGAAACTTCCCACTTGGCTTCGTTTGGAAGCGAAAATATGGTTTCAACATACGCAGCTCTCCAATTTTCAGCAGTGTAATAAGGAGAGCACAATGTTCTCACTGCAAATTCTCGATACATAGCCACTGCAACTGCATGCTCACATGGAAAACTCTCTAACTGAAATTGTTTACAAGTGCATGTTCCATCACTTAAATCTACCATATATGCCGTATGACGTGCACATTTCACAGAGAAGCGCGACTCGTCTAGTGGTTCTACATTTAACTTTCTCGCAGCCTCTACAGCCTTAAAGAGCTTTACCTCTTGTGCTGGGGCTAGCACAGTTGTGCAATTATGTGATTCCGCACGTCGATCATGAAACCACTGCTGCAACTTCGTATGGATATTCTCAATCAGTGCGAGAATGTGTAACTTTCGATCCCTCTTAAATAATGCATTGAGAGACTCCGCGTTGTTTAACGTTATCATGTTGTATCGACGTCCTGAAAAATATGAGCGTGTCCAATGTTCAATCTCCATTTTCGTTAGATAGTCCCATGCTGGGAATGATTTGCTTCCTATTTCAACCATGTACCTATTACACTCTTCAATACTATAAGTTTCGGCCGCTCTCCTAAACAATGAAATGATGTCTTTGCCTCGATACTTGGTCTTCAATTTGCCTTGTATATGGTACACGCAATACCCATGATGTGCATTGGAAAAAACTTCAGCAATACCATTTATTATAGACTGTCCCCGATCGGTGACAAATGCAAGGTCCTCGACTTCTCCGATTACTTCTCTTTGCTTTATGAAGAACCAATGCATCGACAGATCATTCTCGTTATCAACTATGCCGAATGCAAAAGGGTAAATTTGAATGTTGGCATCTTGACATGTAGCAATAATCAACTGGCCTTGGTATTTGGATTTCAGAGTTGTACCGTCGACTAGAATTAAGGGTCGCATAGCATTTCGAAATTCCCGAATGCATTGTCCAAGAGCCATAAAGAAGAATTTGAAGCAGTTATCGGCCTCCGTCTCAATAAAAAATGCCGAGCCAGGATTAATTTTCTCCATGTTATGACAATACCTAGCCAATTTAGCATAACTTTCCTCTGCCAAGCCTATTAAATCATCCAATGCCCATTCTTTGGCCTTCCAGGCCTTCTGGTAGCTCATGACTACTCCGTACTCTCGACGAACATTGTTAATGATATCCAATGGTTTGTAGATTGTCCGTGGATCCTAATACTTGTGCATTATTAGTCGACCAATAAACCAAGCTCGGGCTTGCCTGTGATCATTGTGACAAACTCCCACTTCACAAGTATGTTCTCATGTATATTTGTGAATTACGAAGCACTCATTCGTGTCCATCTTCGTTGCTCGCAAACGTCAACTGCAACTATCATTTACGCATGATAGCGTCAACAAGGACCTATTCGATTTTTTCACTCTAAGCACAAAGTTGTATTTCAGTGCAATTAGATGCATGATTTCTTGCAACTCTTTCTTCGTGTCAAACAGTTGCTCGACATACAAATCCTCATTATCAGGAACCACACGTAAGGAGTTAGAGGACGGTCCACTCGATCTAGCCCCCGAGGTGCCACCCCACTCATGTCTCTGCCGGGATAAACCAATCAAGTCCTCGTTTATAAAAGTGTTTGCATTTTCATTCTCGTTGTCACGAGCAGCAGAGGGGATTCTGTGTGCAACTATCTCTGGAATAATCACATCATCTTCACGAGCTATCTCCACCGTATCCCAAAAATCGTTAGCATTGTGATCCCCACCTCTCGAGTCTACTTGTTCATTTTCGACGACATCATTCCTTACTAAAGTCACGCAAAGAGGAGTCGTGTGCTTATTGTTCAATTCAATCAGATAATTTACTTCATTAATAGAAGAAATCATTATAGGTGGAATTGGTATTGATGCATGCTCGCTAAATTTAAATTTCAATTCCATGTTGTATTGAGAAAGATTAACATTCAACTTATTCTGTAAATTATTATAGAGTTCTGCATATGATGTACCTGATGATATGGAAATTACGATACCACCACGTTTATCACTTATCCATTTTCATACCCATTGATCTTTTTCGTCCAATTCGAAATCACCAAAGTAACAAACTGGGACTACAACCATATCTGCATGTCGAAACAGAATTTTTAATTACAAAAAAAATATCAATAGCAATAAAAATAACCTAAAAAAGGGGGAAAAAAGAAAATAGCCGGTCAAACAGTTGGCCATAACAGCCGGTTGTTTGTCCGACTGTTTGATTAGCTGTTAAACAGCCGGTCAAACAGTCAATTCATGGGCGCCGACATAATATGCAGATGAATTTTTTCCGGTCAAATACTTCAAAAATTACAGATCTATTACATTTTTTTCTACTAATCATTAAATGTCGAAATACAATTTATCAATTTAAACATACAATAATTTAACGAAAACAAGATTAAATTTGCGTATATAAACTTACTGAACCGACGAGATTGATGTCCACAAAATTTTCGACTTCCAATTTCGATATATTTTTAAGTTTCTGCAGTTGAAGCAGATGAAGGATGAGAGTGTTTTATTTATTTGTGTTGGAGTATACAGATAAGAAATATAGGAAGTGTTTGATTTTTTATTTGTTAAGTGAAGGGATATTCATGTCTTTTAAAAAAATCAACTTTTGTAATTATATAATGTATTTAAGGATATTTTTGTCTTTTAACATTGGATATGCCATTTTCATAATATCCCTTTGTTGATAAGTCAACATGAAATTTAGATGATTTTATCATGTTAATTTTAAAATTACTCCAAAAACAACGCGGATAATTAGGTTGGCTGGATAAATTTTTCCTTCTGTAAATTACCAGAAAAATAAATAAAGAAAGCCCTTTTTCCATCTCTTCTCGGCGATGATCTCTCTGTTATCGAATTTAGGGATTCTTCAAAAAAATTTCGCAATGGTACGCCCAATCGCTCCTTCATTTTTCTGCCTTGCACCTTTTTTGTTATCTGTTTTGAATTGTTATTTTTGGGGGTTTGTTTTATTCTTATCTCTTCACATGTTTTCCTTTGTGTGGTTTTCATATATTGAGCTGCATTATTTAAAATCGTCAAGTTTGTTTGTTTGAATAATTGACTTGGGGATACATTTTTCTTCGACGTTAATTAATTCTAGTTTTTTGGGTTTTTGCTAATTCAGTTACTGGATTATTGTATCATTTATTAGAAATTTTAGGCTGGTTGTTGAATATGTTGTCATTTCTGGTGAATTGGAATTCTTGGAGTGAAATCAAAATCGAAACAATTGAAATGTTTAATATCTTATTAGATGACAATGCAGGCCAAGGGTTTTATTCAGGTATGATTAATAGTGCCAGTACCTGAAATTGGGGAAAATTTGCAAAATTGAGCAAGATTTTTCATGGGATATGGAATATAATAACTCAAAAGAAAAAGAAGTGTTTGTTGATATCGAGAGTGGGGTTGCAAGTGGAGGAGCTGATACAAGAACTTGTCCCCATTCGGGAAAGAAACGAGGGAAGAAATTGTTGAACAAGCTTACTAGTGGAGTTTTGGGCATAAATGGGTCAACTAAGGATGAGCCTAGCAGCAATCTTGGAGGGTTGGATAAGGATTCTCATGAACCTGTCGAATTGTTGATACACAAGGGCCCGGGTGATCAAGAGAGTCACGAGCTTTTGCCTCTTATAGAGAAGAAACATGAGAAAAAGAGATGGAAAAATGGAAAGTCCAAGAAGGCGGCTAATAAGCCTCCACTACCTCCTAAAGGTCCATCCTTGGATGCTGCTGACATGAAGTTGGTTAGAGATATTTCTCTGCATGCCACTAAAAGGCGTGAGAGGATTGAACGAATGAAAGCGTTAAAGAAGAGGAAAGCAGCCAAAGAATCATCACCATCTTCCACTGGCACCATGTCTGCAATGATCATTACAATCCTTTTTTTCCTAGTGATAATCTTTCAAGGTATTATCATCATGCTCTTTCTCCTTACTATTTTTTGTGCCATTTATTTTGTATCCATGTCCTCCACCAAGGTAGTTTATCAGATATGTGGATCAAGTAATTTCAGACTGGTTTTTGTCAAGAGTTCTTCAAATTCGTTTGCTTACTTATTTGTTATCCACTGAGGATTTCAAGGAAGTCATGATTTAATTTGTAATTATGATATCATTTAAGTAATAGCTAGATTATATATGCTTTTGATTTTTGCCTTTGTTTGATAAAACTTTTCTAATCTTTTATCTACTTTTCAACTGGTCTAATTTCAATTTTAACAACACATTTAATTGGCCTACATTTTTATCAACTTTTCAATCACTTATTTTATCAAATTTTATCAATGATAAACTTTCATCTAAAGCTTTGTCATACAGCCCCCTTAACTTGATTTTACATGGTAGGGAGCATGGTTCAATCAAAAGTTGTTGCATTAGTTGATTTGGATGCAAGGAGAATGCCAGTTAAAGTACTTGTTCACGTTAATGCTCAATTGAAGAGGTCGTGTTATTTAAGTTCGTTATAAAGGAGAAAACGAAGAAGATGCAACACATCACACCTGAATAGGTTGGTGAAAATGAATATTTTATATGGGTCATTAAACGCAAAATGTTGATAAGATTAATGTAGTAGAAGTGGAGATTTTAAGATGGGCGTGTGGTATGTTGTAATGAATAAAAAATTTAATAAGAATGTACTCCAACTCCATGTAAGGTATGGATAAATTAGGGGATCGAGGAATGTCTTGCACAAACTAAAGAAGCTTCCATTAACATGAACGATGCAATCTCAGTTGAACGTGTTTGGAGAGGTAGGTATGCAAATAATTTGATATCATTGAACCTCAGGGGACAAAAAGTATTTTTGTAGCTTATTTTGTTTCCACGATGTAAAAAATGTCATCTTTAGATATTTTATGTTGCAACAAAAAGCATTTTCACCATGTAAGTTTGACACCGGGGTGCTAGCGTCTAACATATAATCGATGCCCCTCCTCTTGTTAAGGAAGTTCTCAGTCTGTCTTTTATAAATATATAACATCTCATGATTCTTTTCCTATGATTTGCCTCAGAAATACTGTTATGACTGTAATTCTGAGGATCATAAACACTGTAGAACTTGTTTGAATTTCTTGACATTTATTTCATAACCTATTAAACATGGTTACTTACTGTTGACTGTGAACTACTATTGAACAAATTTCTCTCACCTATCCATGGCTTTTCCTTCCTATACTCTCCGATTCAATGCTCATATAGGAGCAAGAGGAGAAATAGCTATTTAGGAGAAAGCTACTCAATTTTGCATGCCTTCCACGGTTCCTAGCTAAGTATGTTTATAGATTTCTAGTGAGGCATTGAGGATAATTAAGTCCTTTTTGCTAATGATGCATGATGGTCATTAATTAGCTGTCTTCTAACTGATTCTATAATCAGTACACATTTTATCCACCAATTTAATCCTTGTGCTTTTGCTAATGTGCGTTAGCTCACCTTCTATATTCAATGTCGCTCATGAGACTTTGCTCTATTAATGCTCATTGGCTTATTTTGAGTTCGCAAACATTTTTACTCTTCAGAATTATCGCTCAGACGCCTTATTTGTTGTCAACACTTGCTGGAGAGTATATGTTGGCATGATCAATTAACTTACTGGAGAGTATATGTTGGCATGATGAATGATCTCGTTAATTGACCGAAGGAATAGACTCCACTTGGAATTTTTCATAGATTCATTCGGCCAGATCTTCATGTATTCTGAATCTTAATTTGCAATTTTTTCCCAAAAGTATGTGAATTGGCTTTTATATTTATAAGCAAATGTAAATATTTCTTCTCGTGTCTTTAATATTTCATTAGAATACCCGAACTCTAATATTTCATTAGAATACCCGAACTCGTATAAAAATCTTCTGGATAGATATAGATGGTGCTGACATTTGTAAATACATTTGGAAATAGCTTTGACAACTTACTCTTTCAGAGGATTAAAGCATTTAAATTCCTGTAGCTTAAGGTGTTGATTCCTAGTTTTTGCAGGACTTGGTTCCATGAAAAGTTCAACAGAGACATCACTGGGGGCTCACGAGCCAGGAGTAGAGACAAAAAGCTTAATTTCTGTTGAGTTCTACAATCATACGTATTCGACTAACAGGTCCCCCGTCCAGGATTCAGGTCCTCTGGATAGAATGGTTGGGTAACGCTTGCTTTCTGCTTCACATCTGGAGAGACTGTTTTGTTGCGGAAGTAAATAGGTAGAAATTGCAACACTCGGATTCATTTGTACTATGATTTGTTATTTTATTTAGGTGAAAGATTACTGACTTGCTCAATATATCTATTATAGGAAAAAAGAAATAAACATAATGCCTATTTAAATTTGTTGATAATAGGTGCACTTCGTTTTATATAATCATCTGTGCTTATATTGCCCTTGTTTGATCCCCATTCTTTAGAAAAAATAAATTCTTCTACAATGTTTTGACATCATTTTAATCATACATTTTTCAGTAAAATAATATTACATGCAAATTTAAAACTTTTCTTTATTTTTTAACCACATATTTTCCATCAATACACTATTCAAAAAATTCATTTTTGACCAATTGGTTGTTGATTCACTAAAATGAAGAAGATGATTATAATGCATTTCTAGACTATTTGTCTTGATATCCTTTATATACCAAAAAATATTAGAGTAGGGACGGCAAGAGACCAATCTAACGGACCATCGAAGCTGGATTCGACTAGTTGGACCAGCTAGGCTCTACAAAGTGGTCACCAAGCCGATCGGGGGCTCACGAGCCAGGAGTAGAGACAAAAAGCTCGATTTCTGTTGAGTTCTACAATCATACGTATTCGACTAACAGGTCCCCCGTCCAGGATTCAGGTCCTCTGGATAGAATTGTTGGGTAACACTTGCTTTCTGCTGCACATCTTGAGAGACTGTTTTGTTGCGGAAGTAAATAGGTAGAAATTGCAACACTCCGATTCATTTGTATTATGATTTGTTATTTTATTTAGGTGAACGATTACTGACTTGCTCAATATATCTATTATAGGAAAAAAGAAATAAAAACAATGCCTATTTAAATTTGTTGATAATAGGTGCACTTCGTTTTATATAATCATCTGTGCTTATATTGCCCTTGTTTGATCCCCATTCTTTAGAAAAAATAAATTCTTCTGCAGTGTTTTAGCATCATTTTAATCACACATTTTTTAGTAAAATAATATTATACTCAAATTCAAAACTTTTCTTTATTTTTTAACTACACATTTTTCATTAATACACTGTTTAAAAATTCATTTTCCCCCTCAAAATGGGGCTCAAACAAGGGCATTGTGAACTTAGATGATCATTAATCTTGGACCAATTGGTTGTTGATTCACTAAAATGAAGAAGATGATTATAATGTATTTCTAGACTATTTGTCTTTATATCCTTTATATACGAAAAAATATTAGAGTAGGGATGGCAAGAGACCAATCTAACGGACCATCGAAGCTGGATTCGACTAGTTGGACCAGCTAGGCTCTACAAAGTGGTCACCAAGCCGAGTCTGGGCTAATTTGTCGACCAAGAGGTCAAGCCATACTCAACCCATGGGCCTAGTTAGTAGTGTAGGGCCGAGACAAGGCCACAAGCATTAGAGTGATATTTTTTTTTTTTTCAAAAAATAAAATCAGAATTTACAATTTTTTATAAGAAAATTAAAGTAGACATACAAATCTTAGCCATTGTTTGAGGGAATAAAAATCAGACTGTTAATTAATTTTGATAAAAGTTGTGAAATGTGTGGTTGAAAAACTATGAAACCCGTCAAATATATAGTTAAAATTAATCGTTGACTTTAATTTAGATTAAAAATCTAGATTTTAATTCCCACCAGACTTATTTTACAAAACTAAAAACAAAATTATAGAAATCCAACATAAAAAATGTAAGAACACACAAAACTCATGAGCCCTCCCTTAGGGCTGACAGTTGGATTCGACCGTGCTCATATAAATGCGAGCTTGAGATGTTCATAGGTCGAGCTCTAAAAAGCATTAAGCCAACAAGCAACTCGAGTCCATTTGTACCGCTATATTATTAGGTCTTAATATATGTGCAAGATTTCCAAAGTATTGCATAACACCTAAAAGATTTCACCTGGGTTCTCACCCCTTTGCCAAAGGGACTGCCTACCTACGGCCAACCTTACTATGGTTGAGATAAAAGTGTGTAGCATAATTAAAAAAGTGTTTGGTGGGAATTAAAATTAGATTATTTTTTTTAGTAAATTGTGATAGAAGGTTTTGAATTGTGTTGTTGAGAAGTTATGAAATTCATGAAAGATGTGATTAATATTGATTATTTGACTTTGACTTAAATTCAGATTTTAATCCAAACCACGTTCAACATGCATATTAAACAAATATGCAGTACCCGTTTTATCCCCATTTCTAAACCATAATTGTTCTCAAAGTCGTTATCAATTCACACATTTTATTAGATCCACAATTTCTATAAATTTTTCATACATGCATTTGATCAAATTGAATAAAAGATGATTTGAGATGGTAGAATCACTGTGCGTCCAACCCAATTGCCATAGGGATTACGCTGATCAATTGTATAAAATAGCATAGATTCTTGTATCCTAAACGAAGTAGAGAAAGGAAGAGTGCAATAATATCTTATGACAGCATAATATAAACATTCATGATCTTGAGTTTTCCAGTAATAATCACATTGATCTATCTCATAGAAGCCAAGGGCGAAGCCAGGGATTTTGTCCAGTACGGACACAATTTTAGGTATTAGCTATAGTGATTTTTTTTGGCCGAAATTAGTTTAAGAACGAAAAGAGCTTCACATGGTCAATGCATAGTCCCTGAAAAGCCCAACCCAAATCATTCATCTCCTTCGTTTGGAAATTTTTCTTGTAGTTCTCACTTCTTGGAATACCTGCCACAATTTCAAAAATCCAAAGATTCTAATAGAGTCAGCATGCACACTGGAGTTTGTTTCTTCCATGTTCTTTCTCTTCCTGGTCCACTTTGTAAGGGTATGGTAGAGGCACTTAAGAAGGTGGACAATCCTTGAGGAAGACCTAACAAGAGGGAATACCCGAGTCAATTAGCTAAGTGAATAGGGCTGTTAGCGAGAAGCGGATGCAGACACACTAGAGTTTCCTGTTTAAAGCCCGATGTCCAGTCCATGCCGATGCCTACACTAGCCTCTATGTAGCTCCACCCCTGATAGAAGCTGAAAATCCTTAGTAGAAAATTAAAAAAATTGTAAAAGAGAGAGCATAGAAATCTTTCTTGTTAATTCTTTGCATTGCTTATGAAGTGAAGGCCATTCAGCAATTGCTCAGTATTGGTTCTCATAGAGTTGCTAATTAGTGAGACATAGGAAGAGAACACAAATGAGGCCCAATTTGAAACCCATCTCTTCAAATTTGATGGACTTTGTCTTTGTTTCAGGTAAAAGCTTGGAGTCAGTTGAACCTACTTCATTTGAGGAAGCCGTTAATTGCAAAACTTCTAAAAATTTGAAAAAAAAAAGGGGCTATGAGAGAAGAGATCCAGACTTTGAACAAAAATGAGACTTAAAAGTTGGTTGGAAAACCAAAGAATCAAAAGGTAGTCTATTGTAAATCGATCTACAAGTTAAAAGGAGTCAGACCTGATGACTCTTTAAGATACAAAGCTAGGTGTGTTGCTAAAGAGTTTATCCAAAGAGAGGAGAGATAGACTATAATACATGTTCTCAGCTATCATTAAGTATAAAATTATTGAGTTAGTCTAAGCCTTAGTTGTCCAATATGAATGGAAGCTAGATCAACTAGACGTTAAGACAACTTTTCTTCATGGAAAGTTGGAGGCAGTAATTTATGTGTCTCAACCTCTAGGGTTTGAGGTGAAGGAGAAGTCTGAACTTGTGTGTTTGCAAAGAAAATTCTTGTATAGTTTAAAGTAGAGTCCTAGATAATAACATAAAAGATTTGGTGTATTGTTCTTAAAATTGGTTTATGAGTGAATTGGATATATGTTTATTAATAACTCTAAATTAAGTTGTGAAGTTTATTTATTGTTATATATGGATGACATGTTGCTTGCTAGTTCTAATAAAGTTGAAATGATAAAGATGAAAAATCTTTTAAAATCAAAATTTAACATAAAAGACTTAGGAGAGGCAAGAAATATTCTTGACATGGTTATTAAAAGAAATAGGGCTAATAATAGAATGACTATTATTTAAGAGTCTTATTTGAATAAAGTGATAACCAAATTTGGTACGAAATTTGTTAAGTCTGTTGTACCATTAGCTACACACATAAATTTATTTTCTGCCCAGTGCCCTAAAAAATGAAGAAAGCATGAAATAAGTTATGATCCCGATGCTAATGCAATTTCTTTTGTGATGTATTCTATGATTACCATGAGACTTAATCTTGCATATGCAGATAGTTTCTTGTGTAGAATTATGTCTAACCCAGGGAAACTTCATTGGACTGCATTTAAATGGCCTAGCTACAATTGTTAAAAAGGGATTAGTGTTTGGAAAAAGAAATAATAATGTAGAACTAAAAGGTTTTGTCGATTCTGACTCTCATTTGAAAATCAAAGTTGCAATCTATAGTCACACCCTCGAGCACTAAAGCATAATATGTGGCATTAACTGAAATAGTAAAAGAATCCATGTTATAGAAAGGTCTGCTTTGTGAATTAAACTTCTTGAATGAAAATGCTATGATTTTCACTAATAGTCAAAGTTCATTAATGCTGCGTAAGAATTCTAAATATCATGAAAGATCTAAACATATTGAGGCGAAGAACCACTTCATTAGGAAGAAATTAATTGATTCCATATATTTTCCAACTGCAAGGTAGCAAAGTACACATGGGACATACTGTAAGTAGCTGATGAAGGAACCTCTATTGTGAAGTAATCAAGACTACAAATGTTTCTCGAGTTTGAGCAACTGATGATGAAAGATGATGAGTCATTCAAAGAGTTTTATGCCAAGCTAGGTGACATCACTAATTTTGCCTACACTTTAGGAAAGAAATATTCAAAAAAAGATAGTCAAAAAGATTCTCTGATCATTACTCGACAAATTTCATTCCAAGATAATTGCTACCGAGGAAAGCAAGGACATAGAAAGTATTAAAGTCGAAGAATTAGTAGGTTCCTTGATAGGGTTGGCAACGGTTCGGTTATGGGTCGGTTCGACCAAAACCATAACCGCACCACCAATTTTTTGACCATACCATAACCGCACCATAACTACATAAATCGGTTCAGTTCGGTTCGGTTCGTATCTCTGTTCGGCAAGGT